TCTTATGTGGGTTTCGTAGCTACTATTATTATGTGGGTTCCCATAAATTGATATCGGAGCTTGGGCTCCAAAAGTCAAAGTTATATCATTTTTCTCTTTTTTTTATTTTTTTTTATTTTTTTTTTGATTCTTTTGTTTTCTTTCCTTATCATTATTTGTGTTTTTCATCTTTTGAATCATTTAATCTAACTAAAGTTCAAAAGTTGTTTGTGCACTAAATTAGCCTCCAAATCAAATTTTTTTTTTCAAATCTTTGGGCTCCGTGCTAAATTCTATTGCATTTAGGGAAAAAATCAAAAATTTACACACAAAAAAAAATGCAATTACAGAAAAACAGAGAAAAAAGAGAGAGAGCCCACAACAAAAAGTGCCCAATCCGAATTCAAAAATCACTTTCTTGGATTAAATATTAGTTCTCATTGAAAGTGTCAAGCTCTTTTGCCTTCTTTTTTTTTTTTTTTTTTCCTCTTATTTGAGTCTTCTAAAGTTACAAATTTTCACTCACATCCTAGTTTAAATTCTTCAAAAATAAAACTTGGTTGAGATCGAATTAGTTCTTTGAAGTACTTGAGCAAAAGCATTGAGTGGAAAAAAGCAAGAGTGGTGAGACTAATAGAGGGAAAAAAACCAAACTTGAGTGATGCACGATCCTGTGCACATGAGGCAAATATTATTTTAAATTTAGGATGTTCGATAGAGACAAATCAAAGTCAAGCAGGAATCATAATCAAGTTCACAAGTCGATGAGGGGATACGATGGTTTGAGAGGTTGTTTAAAGATGTGAGACATAGGTTGGATATGCAAGATGTATGGATGGCGTGATAAGACCATTTGTTTGCTAATTTACATAGGAAACAACCTAGAGAAATTCCCAATGTAAGGTAGGTGGGACCTTAGGATGGAGGTTCGTGGTGAACATGAAACGGGTAGTGATATTGATGATGATGCAATAGTGGATGTCGAGTTAGGAAGAATGACTGGTAGATGAGTTAGGTATGAAAGGAGAGGTAGTCAAACTATTGGAGATGGGGTTGATAGAAGAATGGACAATATCAAAATAACATTTCCTTCATTCAAAGGAATGAGTGATCCGGAGGCATACTTAGAGTAGGAGAAGAAGATAGAGTTGATATTTGATTGTCACAATTATTCGAAGGATAAGAAGGTAAAAATTGTGGTGCTTGAGTTTACCGATTATGCTATTACTTGGTAGGACTGAATAACTGACATCTAGGAGGTGAAATCATGAGAGGCCTATTAATACATGGTAAGAATCAAAAGCTATCATGAGAAAGAGGTTTGTGCCTAATTATCACTACAGGAGGCTTCGTAAAAAATTGTAAAGCCTCTACCAAGGTTCTAGGAGTGTGGATGACTATCATAAAGAGGTGGAGATGATGATGATTAGAGCGAATGTTGAGGGGGAGGCTACTATGGCTCGGTTTTTTAATGGTCTAAATAGGAAAATAGCTAATGGAGTAGAATTGCCACATTACGTGGAGTTGAAAAATATGATATATGTGACTATGAAGGTAGAGAGACAACTAAGAGGAAGAGAACCATTAGGTATTCATCGGGTTCTTCAGAATCTAATCCTTCTTGGAAATCGAAACGGGATAACAATAAGAAAGATGGAGCTATTTCGAAGAGCAGAATTGAACCACAAAATGGAAAAGAGAAAATTGCTAGCAAGAGCACATCCAAAGTAGAATCCCAACCATCTAGGAGTTGATATATCAAATACTTTAAGTGCTTGAAATCAGGGTACATTGCTTCTCAATGTCCAAACAAAATGGCAATGATCTTACGTAATAATGGAGAAGTAGTGAGTATAGTGATGGAAATGAGATATATGAACTAAAGGGTGCTAGTGATGGTGATGGAGTAGAGTACTTGATCGTGGGGGAAGCACTTGTGGTGATGTGTGCTCTCAATACATAAATCAAGGTAGATGATAAGGAGCATCAACGAGAGAACATCTTTCATACTAGATGCCATATCAAAAACAATGTATGTAGTTTGATTATTGATGTGGGGTAGTTGTGCTAATATTACTAGTACTACACTTGTTGAGAAATTAAGACTAACTACAATAAAACATCATAAGCCTTATAAATTGCAGTGGTTAGATGAATATCGAGATGTAGGGTAAGTAGGCATGTTTTGGTAAATTTCTCGATTGGGAAGTATAGAGATGATGTGACGTGTGATGTAGTTCCTATGCATGCTAGGCACATTTCGTTGGATAGGCCATGGCAATATAATAGGAAGGTAAAGCATGATGGATACAAAAATAAGTACAGCTTTGTCAAGGATGGAAAATCCATTACTCTAGTACCATTAACACCAGTACAAACGTATGAAGACCAAATCAAATTAAAAAGTGAGGAAGAAAAGAGATTAAGAGAAATCAAGAGTAAGAGAGAAGAGAGTGAGGTGCCTAATAATGAGAAAAAAGAGTAAAGCCATAAAAGAGAAAGAGTCTTTCGAGAGGAGAAAAAAATTTAAAGTGAGTCTCTGAGCAAAAAGAAGTGAGATTGAGATGCATTAGTGAGAACTAACAAACCATTCCCCAATTTGAATATTTCTTTGTTATAGGAATTCAAAGACCTGTGAAGACCTAATTAGTGGAATACCACCCATTGAACATCCAATTTATTCAATACAAGTAGAGATTTTGATAAGCATTTAAGGATAAGAATTCAACTATGATATGGTAAAGTATCAATCCCCCATATATAGGTTAGGTGATGGTCTAGCATGTAGGAATAGTTTTTCACAAGGGGCATGTACCTTTACACATAATTACACATCTAAAATTTCTATGAAATTAATAAATATTGGTCACGTGCATTAATAAGCAATCGTTTACTAATTTATGATATTCTAGTATATTGCAAAAACTTAATTAAGCATGATAGACAATTGCCGTGCATGTTGGTGATTTGAGGTATGAGAATATATATTTGAATCTTGAAGTCCTTAACTGTTTGGGTTCAAATTTATGGAATTTGTTGAGAACTAATTTAATATCTCCTAATACTTCTATTACACGTTTTGATATGGTTTATGGTTTAAATTTGTTAACTTTGTTTGGTTTAATTCCTTTAAATATTGTTGTAAGTAGTAGTTTAGATAGAAGGCGTGGAATTGAATATGCATCTCAAGATAGCAAAGGGAAAAGGTATAAAGTATTCAAACCAGGTTATTGGATTTGTGTACTTAGAAAAAAAGGGTGTGTTCGATTTCAAAGAAGGTCAAGATTTCATCCTAGATGAGACGGACCATTCCACATTATTGCAATGATTGAAAATAGTAGCTACAATTTGGATCTTCAAGGGAAGTTTGTGATAATTTGTAGTTTTGATGTCTCTGGTCTTTCTCCTTTTGATGCAGGTACAGATTCGGGATTGAATCCTTTCGAAAAAGGAGGGCATGATGGGATCCAAGGACCAAGTTCCATGGTGGACATGGGAGCGAGGACAAATTGTAATGCATTTGAATCAAGAACTCAAACTTGGAGGCAAGATGGAAGCCTATAAGATTGTATGTACAAATTGGAGACCAGAACAATACAATTTTGTTACCATGAGACATATTGGTAGCTGCTGATCATTTGATTGAACTGAAATTCAGAATGGGTACTCTTGACGGATATGAAACATTTGAAAAATAAACGTACGAGTTTTCCAAAATTCGCGAAATATCCTAATTTAGCTAAAACTCTATATATTTTTTTTATATCTCTTATAATCTTTAGAATTTAATTTTCATTTTAACTAGGTTTGCAAAATCTCATATTTATGTTAAAACTCTATTTTATGTTAACTTTTATAATCTTTAGATTTATATGTCGTTTCTAATTTTGCTTTCAATCTTGTTCTTCACTGAACTAAATTTTCGAACTTTATCAAGATTTAATTCTTGTGGCATTCAAACAATTCGGATGAGTTTCTTGAGTCTTGTGATCACAGGATCAACATATTGTCGGTGATTATGTTGGTTCTTTGGTTCAATATTTTTAAATCAAACTCGAAAAGTTGATTCTTTATCTTTTTGGGTTTAAATAAATCTTGTGTGAGTCTACATGAGTTCGCATCAGAAGATGACCGGAGTTCTAGTACAAGGAGAATAAGGAGTTCTCAGTGACCCACAAGAGATAGATGATTCCAAAGATTAAGAGCTGGTGCAGGAGCATAGTGTCCAGAAGGGTCTTGGTATTACAGGAAGTAGGTCAGAAAGTACTAGGAGTTAGTTGAGTTTGAACCCTATTGTAAGCCATTCGCCTGTAGTGGATTATACTAACAATGTGCCCAGAGTTTTTCTTTTTATCTCACGAGTTTTTTCTTCATGATCAATTCCTTGATGTTATTTATTTTCTGTAAATTACACACTGCAATAATTCAACATCTTGGTTAGTTTTGCATGTGAATTCACCTGGATTAAATAGTTATAGTAATTTTTCGTTTTAAGTATTGGTAAATTTAATTTTTTCATGAAACACCAATTCACCCCTTCTAGTTGTTTGTTGGGTCGAATTTCGATTTTCACCTATGCTAGAATGAACAACACCAGATGGTATTAAGGAGGAAGAAGTCGAGTTTGTCTTTCACTTAACATGCCCTTGATGTAGTGTTACAAATCGGTTGCCCCGTTTTCTAGCAACCAAGCAAACTAATTGACATTTGTTTTGCATATTTCAATAATTATGTGATGTTGGCGTGGAGTTGGCTGACAATTTGAGTGCTGATAAAATGGCTCCATAAATTGAAAATCCTGAGAAGTTCCATAAATTGAAAATCCTGAGAAGCTGGGAAGAAACTACTAAGGAAATCTAGATTTACATCCTCTTTTTGTGCTTCTATGTTTGAGCAAATTGAGAACCAGAACATGTGAAGACACCTATAAACAGGATATATGAGTTAATATAAGCATATTAAGAACTGAAAACCAGTCAGCAACGTGATTCATCTAACAGGTGTTGCCAATGGAACTTTAGGATAATATAACATCAAACAACTTTTCATATGAATATCCAAAATGTCAAGATATTATAGGGATTCTGTGTACAAATTTCAGTTGACAGGTGATTTTACATCTCAAAATCATTAGAAAAAGGTAAAAAAGGAGTTCTTTACAAAATGGGTCCTATGAAGAATATCTAGTTTCCATCTCATATTCTACTCAAGCGAGATGTGAGGTCAAGGAATATATCCTCCCTGCACGGAATAGTGAGGCCACCCATTGGATGATTAAATCCAAATTCTTCTTCAGCTTGACTTAACAATTCCTGAAATGAAGACTCGCTCAAGTATGATAAGGGAACAACGAAACGCTTCCTCTCCCTTTCTCCAACGTAAACAGTAAAATGGCCCTTTGGCACATCAGCTCCTGTCGAACTTTCTTTGTTGAATGTGAATGAAGACCGTCTAAGCAGTTGCTTAGATTTAATAATACGACTCATGAGAATAGCCATGGATTAGAAAGTGTCTAGCTAAAAAATATCAAGAAATGGAAGCTGTGGAAAGTTTTGTTGAACAAGCAGATGCTAAGCCAGGTGAGATTGTAATAACTTGTTTAGGCTACAAGCCCGGAAATGCGCATATATAGATGACTAGTGTTGAGTGGAGAAGAGTCAAGTAGATAGTGGCTACCATCTGGCTAGAGAAACATAGCACATGGTAGTCTCATGGACTTGTTTTCCAATCATCATAAAAAATCTAAAGAGCAATAAAATTGATGCATATTTATTGTCTTCTGAAAGACATCATTCCCTACCACTTCTGACAATAGACCCCATTGAAATCTAGAAAACATGCTAATACTCAAATCAAAAAGATGCTATTGTTAGATTTACTATTTTTTTTTTTTTAATTTATATTTTTTTTTTTTTAATTTATATTTTTTTTTTTTTAATTTATATTTTTTTTTTTTTAATTTATATTTTTTTTTTTTTAATTTATATTTTTTTTTTTTTAATTTATATTTTTTTTTTTTTAATTTATATTTTTTTTTTTTTAATTTATATTTTTTTTTTTTTAATTTATATTTTTTTTTTTTTAATTTATATTTTTTTTTTTTTAATTTATATTTTTTTTTTTTTAATTTATATTTTTTTTTTTTTAATTTATATTTTTTTTTTTTTAATTTATATTTTTTTTTTTTTAATTTATATTTTTTTTTTTTTAATTTATATTTTTTTTTTTTTAATTTATATTTTTTTTTTTTTAATTTATATTTTTTTTTTTTTAATTTATATTTTTTTTTTTTTAATTTAAGTGGACAAGGGAATTTACGAATCTATCTGCTCGGGTTCGGTGGGGTCTTTTGTAGGCAATGAGTCATGAAGTCATAGGAAAATGTGTTCTCTAACAGATATAAGCTGCATTTATTGATTCAAATGATGATTGGAAGACAATTCCATGTGATTCTTCATTCTTCATATGCTTGTGTTTTCCAGGACTCACCAGCCCGCCACAATCTGTTTGCCTCTTGGCCACTTAACCCAATTCCAAAAGATAGGCATTGCCCCCCGGGGCACTTCTTCCCTGGCAAAGGACGGGCTCTGTCAAACCTGGCAGATCAGAGGTCGTGAGTTCGATTCATGGGGCTCTTGGAAGGCAAGGATTCATTCTTGGAAGGCAAGAGAAATCTTGGAAGGCAAAGATTATTCTTGGAAGGCAAGGTGCAAGTTGGATTGGCTTGCTTGGCACTTTGGCAGATCAGGTGGGGAGGGCTCGGACCCTGGCTAGTTGGAGGCACATCCCGTGATTAACTGGACTGTGTGAAGAGGGGCCGGATCACAGACCTAAAGATTAGTTAAGAATTGGACACCTTGTAAAAGATAGGCATTCCTTAATGAATGTTTTGCTTAAATTGTGTCGACAGCTCATCATGTATATCTCAACGCTTTTCTTATTATGTTTTTTAGCTTTAATCTCCGTCTTCTTGTTCCTAAGGGAATATATGACAATCTCATGTGTTAAAGTGTTCCAACTATACTTAATTTCATTATTTACGTCTTTATAAGTCAGACATGAAATTAAGCAAAATTATAACCTTATATGTTTCATACACTATTTTATCACAATTAACAATATCTTGCACAAATTTGTCAAATACATTCAGATTGTCATCAACATTCTTTGAATGATACATCTTAACATTGAAAAACATCTCGAGTAAGTAAAGTTTGTTAATCGTAGACTTAAGCAAATACAAGTCCTCTAACTTTTTCTAAAGTTCTTTTGTGATTTTATATTTAGCAACTTTTCTCAAAACAACTTTTAATAGGTGTAAAATAATTAAGTATAAACAAGCTCATCAAATTCTTCTTTTTGTTCTTTTTGACAAATCATTAGAAAAAAAATGCTCTATACAGTTTTAGAATTTTTTTTGTTGAACCATAATCCTTCTCATTTTCTATCACCAAATCGAGAGATCTCATTTTCCATTCAAAAATCCCAAATCAAAACGTGTTGTCTTTTAGAAAAAATCATTCTAAATACACGAATACACTGTTAGACCTCACAAAATAGCCCCAAGGTCAATAAGCTGTATTGACCGTTCTAGATTCAAGGGTTTCATGAGATTTGAGATATTAGATCAAGTGAATGGTCAAATGAGGTAAAGTTCAGGTGTCCTAACGGAATAATAAACGTAACAAAGAGGTATTCCAATGAAAATAGTTCCTTACTCAATGCAAATGTCACACAGTGACTCAATAGGAAATTATATCAAAAATCAAAAAGCAACTTTTAGCAATCATACTTAATAGACTTTAAACACTTAAAATACGGCAAATAACTCATGAATTCTAGCAACAAGAATGTTGTCACGCATTTTCTGCAACGTAAATATGCCACAAATATAAAGTGTCAAGTTTTGTAATATAAGATCAAATATAGATGTCGAATCCGTAGGGATTGAATATCAATTTATACTAAGTACTATAATTGAATAGTTCTTATTTTATCTAGAAAACCGAATTATAAAATCAATGGTTATAAACTAATCTGATGATGAATACGGTGACTAATTCAACAAATAAATGCAAGTTAGAAGAATAATCAAGATGAGAAAGCGTAGGGTTGTGATTTCACCTGACTATTTGTAGCAACCGAAAAAAAAGTTTTATAAATTTCATCTTGACATGTTTTGTTAATTTGGGATGCTGAGAAATAAATCTTGTGTCAAAATTTTTTTAGCTTTTGGTCAAATAATCAAGTATTCTTCTAGCAAGAAACTTCGTACCAATATTGGACTTGTTACGAAACTCATATTAAATAGCGAATTTTGGACAAGTTAGGCCCATAATATTGATGTTCAGAAACCACATGCTTTACTAAAGTCAATTAAAGATTTTGAATTTTTTTGGCAGTCACGTGCATTAAAAAAAATTGAAATTTGAACCTTTGATTTTGGATTAGAATGAAAGCTTTTAGGATTGGTTTGAATTGATTTCATTGGAAGGATTTTTTTCAGCTTTCACGTGTGGACTTCAAGCTTTACTAGGAAACCATTTTTTTTTTTTTTTTTAAATTTGTCCTTGTCTCATCCTTGTGAGTGATATGGGAAAGACTCCTAATTACTCATGAATTCCAATTGACAATAAATAACTCTATATACATAAAATACATAGCACTCATGGGATAAATATGATATGGATACGGCTGCGACACAAAAGAGAAGATAGAAAGGCAGAATATATTTCATGTTGAAGATTCAAAATCGATCGACGCACTCATTACCATATTATTGCGAGTTGAGGTAGGATCCCTACACGAAGTTGTCGCTATATGAATTTAGTTTTCGGTCAAGCATATTATTCGTTATAATTGCATGAAGTATATGAAGTGCCTTTTTTTTTTTTTCCTCTTAAATTTTTTTTGAAAGGAAGGTTTATATATGCTTAAATTGATGGTCACAAAGGCTCATCAGGACCTTAAGTATATATGTTAAATTGATGACCGTAGAGGCTCATCAGAACCCTAGGTAGATCATTTGATCATCGGTTGACTTATTTATGAGGGCAACATGTAAGAATGCAAGATTAAATATATGATTATTATGTTCATATAACATATGTAGCCTATTGAGTATTTCTTTGAGATGCTCACTCCTATTTAACCATTTTCAGAACAATCAGAGATTCGGCGGTGGATTGGCATGAATGCACGTACTATTTTTAGAGAAATTTATTCTTATGTTTTAGATTGCCAATATTTTTTTTTTCATTGTGCAATCCGATGAATCTGGGATGTTTTAAATTAGTAATTCTTGAAAACTTGAAGACTGATTGATGATGAAATTGCTTTATGTTTTTTTATGGTGGCTTAATTCAATTCATTTGAGTTACACTATTGGAAATTAAATATTTCCAGTTTCTGCATCTAAGTTTAAAAATTCACCCAGACCTATATACTTAGTTGGAAAAGATAGTCATATAAGTTATCTATCTCTTGAATTAGAATCATGAATTTTGGATCTATAAAACGCAGGTTATGAATATTTTCCAAGAGCTGTCAGAATGTACTCGAGAACAGATTGCCCTAGTTTAGAAAGAATTTTTGACCAATCTATTGATTGAATTTATCTACGAGATTTTAACTTATAGTTCCCTTGTGTGTATGATGTCTACAGTAAAAATTTGTAAATTTTGGACTTCATTTGTTTGTCAAACGAGATTTATTTCAAAAAGTCGTACAAGCTGAAAGTTTAAACTTTCCGAACGAAAATTTCTTAAATTTTGTAACAAGTTCTCTGGAGCCTTAATGTTTTTAATACAAGTTAAATTGCTACATTTTATGAACTATTTAGGTAGAATTTTATAAATTTAAGGTCTTTGTAATGTTACGAGTTCCCAGTTTTAGGGGCGTTACACTATCAAATATGATTCTCAATTTTATAATCATTTCTAATCAATTTCAAGAACCTAATATAATTTTACTCCCTCTCTCGAGTGCCGAGTAAAAACTATTCCTATATTTCAATACTAATATCTCTATTCAGAATTAAAATTTAGAAATTTTCAAGTTCGTGGTTCTTGAATGAAACATGCTTAAAAGGAATTATACATTCTCTTGAAACCTATAATTTCATAGGTTGTCTTATTGTTATAATCATGCTTAAATTCCCCTCTTTTGAGTGCTGAAATTGACTAGCATCAAATTATTCAATTAGTGGCCAATTTATTTGAAAGCATTAAACCAATAACACAAATAAACACAATTGGAAAATCTCATATAAATAACTGGAATCAAATCAAATCATATCCTCAAGTTTTGGTTACATCAAACCCTAGATGAAGAGTTTAGTTCATGGTAGAAGAAAGAATTCTATATATCATGATTAATAACATGAAGAGGAAGAAGAATGAAAACTTTTCTGAGGAAGGAATTAATCTCCCTTCTTGATGTTCTTCTTGATCTCTTGATTGATTTTCTCATTCTTGCCTGATTGAATTGTCCCTGAAAAGTGGCCTCTAGATTGGTATTTATGCATTCTTAAAGTCCTTGAATGAGGCTTTTAAAAGATGAATTAAACTTGAAAAATCATAATTGTATGTGGCGTGACCCCAAGTCGTTGGAACTGGGCGCATGGGCACTGTGAATCTGGTCAAACTAGGGCTTGGGTGCTTGAATGTGGCACCTAGGCACTTACTTTCAGGAAAATCCAACAATGTGGTGCCTAGGTGCTGAGGGATAGAGCTTGAGTGCTCGCATC